ACCAGCCGAGGGCGTTTCTCGTTCGCTGTAGCATAGGGGGTACCCGCGATAATACGCCTCTATCGGACCGCACGCGAACCGACATCTTGGGGGGGCTGAGGTCCCAAGCGCGACTCATCGTTGGTCGACTAGGACGCATCTCACACACACCACGCGCACTCCGCTTTACGAACATACATACACACAAAACAACATATATACGAAACGACACAATACCAACAACGCGACAACGCTCCTAGTCCCTCAGTAGCCAACCCATAACTTTCTAGTGAGGAAATCGGATAGACGTCACGCGCTGAACTTAGTATAAAACCGCGCGGACGCAGGGCATACTCATATCGACTTGCAATGCAGGCATACACAGCAGTCGCAACGATGGCGTATATGTAGTGCCCATAATCAACCGGTCCCTCGTGGATCCGAGTACCGCTTATGAATCTCAAGTGTCAGACTTGAAGTGTCGTAAGGGCCTAACCCTTCACGACATTGCACGGCTGAAGGAAATGTCGTGCAACCGCCGCTGCACCTTAGGCTCACGACCTGAGTGTCTCGGTAGGTATATCAAATAGGCTATGCGCGAGGGAAAACCCCTCCCCTGTAGAGCCTAGGGCTTGGGATGTCTTGGACAAGGACCTCGAATCCCGGCCCAGGACCAAACGTCCGACTAAGAAAATCATCAAAAAGCAAGAGACAAGAATAAAAGGAGAGACCTCCTCTAAGCCCCTCAGTTTCAACTTCTGAATGAGGCTTTAATGTGAGGGCTCTTCGACCCATGAAAACATTCATCCCAAGTATACCCAGGTATACATATATAAGGGTTAAGTATGTGACGATCACTTTGCACGGTCTCACTGGGGTTTCTCACAATAATGTGTATATGTGTGATCGTAGGCAACCAGATTCAGAATCTGCTTCACAGCACATACCTGCCATCACATCAACGAACCAAATCAACAGCCCACACACTACACGAAGTCAACCCCAACCACCTTCGACACTCATACCCCTCGCTTTAGCCATGCAAGCCCCAAACCTCCTTTCCAACCAACCTTGATTAAATACTCAGCACCTTTGGTAAATGACCATTCAATAAAAGTGTGGGTGAAACCTTAATAAAACCACGAAATCACCAGGGCTAAAGCCTTTTAGGTTGAGTGTAGAGGGATAGTTGAAATTGAGTCGTAGACCGACGAATCGGCAACGGACCTGTTATCAGTGATAATAGTAAGTGATCCTCAAGGGATCAAGCTGGATCTAGCCCTGAACTTGGATCAAATGATCAAAAAGACCTGTAACACACGACAGACCAATCCCCAAGCTAAGATCATAAGTGTATGGAGAATACAACTCCATAATACATCCTCACTCAAAAACTTCCTTATTAGCTAAATCTAAGTCTACTTTTAAGTAAGTGCTTAAGCTGAAGGTAGACCAACTACAAAGTCTCCCCTATTCTCGGTGGATCGCCTGAATCACCTATCAAAATATAATTTATCTCTTATAAACTAAGAAAATTTTGGCAGCGCTTCCCGTAGAAAAAGTGTCTTTTCATAATTTATATAAGCCGAGGTATGAGAGCAGAAATAATCTCTAACTCTGGAAAGTCAAATTCTGTCTAATTTTCTGAATTAGTAGAAATTTGGGCAGCACTTCCGTTAGAAAGGGAGGCTTCTCAGATTTATACTAAGTCAGATATGAAAACAAAATTAATCTCTAATTATGGAAAGTCAAATTTTGTCTAACTCTCTGAATTAGTAGAAATTTGGGCGGCACTCCCTTTAAAAAGAGACTTCCCTGATTTATACTAAGTCAGATATGAAAGCAGAATTAATCCCTAATTATGGAAAGTCAAATTTTGTCTAAGTCTCTGAATTAGTAGAAATTTGGGCAGCACTCCCTTTAGAAAGGGAGACTTCCCAAATTTATACTCCGTCAGATATGAACTCGAACAATAGCTCGAGCTCAACTCCTTAATTTTTTTTTGAAATTTCGGCAGCACTCCTTCTAGAAAAATGTTATTCCAAAATTTATACAAGGCTAAGTTTACAATTTTGAGAACAACTTTGACTTCTCAAAGTCCAATTTTGTCTGACTCCTTGAATTAGTAAAAATTTGGGCAGCACTTTCTCTAGAAAATGAGACTTTCCAGATTTATACTAATTCATATATTGAAAAGACAAGCTGAACTCTGACAAGTCAAAAGTTGATTAACTTCTTGGATTTGTCAAAATTTTGGCAGCGCTTCCCGTCAGAAAAGTAGCTTGCCAAGATTTATACAAAGCCAAGAATAAGAAAAGATCTAAGAAAATGCAGGAATTAACACTAACTTCTATGGCTCTAGCACGTGGCGAGCAACTACAACAACTACCTATAGTAATGAAACTTAAACAACCTAGCCATCTCATCCAGTCACATGCCAACCAAACCACAAATGTAAGTACTCTCACCACCCCAAGTTCATTCCATATAAATAGTTCGTGAATCTTCAAGTTTTTGAATCCTTATACCCATCTTACATAAGACATAGAGCTGGACCATTCGCCATGGAAACAATGCCCAACTTGCCCTTATGATATACACGAATAGGTTGCACAAATACTTCTTTCTTCTTTTGGGCAGATGACTGGGTCATTCGCCATGGAAACAATGCCTAACCGCCCTCAGCTGTTTAATAT